CAGGAGAAAGATGAGGCTTTCTGCTCCCATAAAGATTCATAGCTTCGGAAACCCTGTATTGGGTCACTATGAGTCAGAACCAACTCCACAGCACATAACCACCACCACCTAATTATTGTACGTTAGTGAATTCATACAGTATTTTTCCCTTTTTTGATTGACTATTTCACTCAGCATCATATTTTCAAGGTTTATCTATGTTGTGGCATGTATAAAAATTGTATTTCTCTTTATGGAGAGTAGTACTCCATTGTATTACATAACACATTTTTTATATCCATTCATCAGTTGATGGGCACTTGGGTTGTTTCTAAATTTTAGCTACTGTAAATAGTGCAGGAGTGAACATTGCTGTACATGTCTTTGTTTGTGTCATTCTTTTCAAGTTTCTTGCATATTTGTTTACATGTGGAATTGCTGAGTCATACAGTAACTCTAGTTTTAACTTTTTGAGGAACCACCAAACTGCCTTCCATAGCAAGTATTACCCACCATCAATGGCACATCTCTATTTTTAATATGAAATATATTACAATGAGGAACACTTTGTTCTGACCCCCCCTTTCCATAACCTTGCTTCTTTTCTGCCCTTCAACCCAAAATGATTCCTCTTCTGAACATCCCTGGGGATGGTGGTCAGGTGAAGGACATGACTGCAGTAGTGCTCTATATAAAGTCCAAGGAGAAGACATAGTAAAACAGAGACCAATCAGCTTTTCTTGAGAATTTCATAAATTAGGAGAAAAGCTATTGAAAAGCATAGGTCAGATTTCTTTATTCTTCTATTACTACCTAACTCTCAACATTTTTGAGGTGACACACTTTTAAAGAAAAACCATTCAGAAGAATCTTGTTCCATTCAGGCTTACTTACAGTATATTTCCAATGAAGGCTCACTCAGTTTACTATAAATAGAGTATGTGCACTATAAGAGGCTTAGGGCACAAGGTGATCATGAGCACTAAATGATGGTTTAGAAAATAACTTCATTCTTTTTCCCTTGTTCTAAGGCCAGCAAGAGTACCAACAACTTCAAGATTTCTGAATCCATGTGTGGTTGGTTTCATTGTCGTTACAGTGGTGGTGATCCTAGCAGTGATGATAGCTCTACTTGTCCACTTTTTAGCTTTTGGTAAGTACCAGAAAATTGTTGATATCTGGACTGTGTTGTTGTTGTTAAATGCTGTCAATTCAGTTCGGGCTTATAGCAACCCTGTATAGTGTTACCAAGATGGGTTTGGAATGCCAACCTATGGTTCACAGTCCAGTGAGTCATCTTTGTACTAGACAGCTAAATATACTTTTCATATGAAGTTTATGAAAAGTATGACATTCTCTCTCTCTTTTAGTCACTTTTGTTTCATTATATAGCATGATTATATATCTTACTTATAATTCTTACCTAAATATATGTGTTTATATTTGTATTTTCCCATAATTAGTTTTTATTTCATTTTTGTTTTTTTCTTGTCTCTTCTATAGTCTTTATAATTTACCAAACATCAGGCAAAGATTATCCTAGCTAAAGACAACAAAATCTCTTGATACTTTTCTGGTCCTTGACTTTGCCCATTTTTTCCCATTAGTACTATGATTTCCTTCTTTTTAATAACCTGCTAAAATCATAAAATCAAAATATTAGAAATAATGTCAAGTTTCAATACCTAAAAGTTGAACAACACGTCTCAAAACTCAAACTCGCTGTCTTCATGCTGATGCCTATTCATCATGCCCTTTATAGGGCTTCTGAGACTATAAATATTTATAGGAGCAGAAAGCTTCATCTTTCTCGTGTAAAGCAGCTGGTAGTTTTGAATTGTCAACCTTGTGGTTCACAGTCCAGTGCTTATCCTACAGTGACACACCAACACTCTTTTAAGATTTTTTAATTCATATGTTATCTCTGGAAAAGTCTTAAAGTACAATAGTTACGATGGTCAAGAGATGAATTTGCAGTTAAGTTGTTATTGTTGTTGTTGGTAAGTGCTGTTGAGTCATTTACAACTCATAGTGACCCTGTATAGGGTTTCTAAGGAGTAGATGGTGCATTTGAACTACTGACCTTACATTTATCAGTCCAGGACTTATCCTACAGTGCTGCACAGGACCAGCTAAGAAGTTTTGTTGTTGTTGTTAAGTGCCATCAAGTTGGTCCCTACCCATAGCGACCCTAAACAGGTTTCTGAGGCTATAAATCTTTACGGGAGCGGAAAGCCTCATCCTTCTCCCATAGAGCAGCTGGTAGTTTCGAACAGCTGACCTTGCAGTTCACAGCCCGATACATAACCACTACGCTACCAGAGCTCCTTAAGAAGTAGAGAGAGTAAAAACAAGCTTTTAAATTTTTCTACTCTTTTATTATTATTTTAACTTTTTATTATCATGTTGTTGCTGCTGTTAAGTGTTGTTGAGTTTGTTCCCACTCAGAGCAACCCTGTACAATAGTGGCTGGTAAGTTTGAAATGCCAGCCTTTCAGTCCAGTATATTATACAGCAGTGTACCACCATGACATCATATCACCAAACCATCAGGAAGCACAAACAAGAAAAATTGATATAAAGAATATGCATACCCTGCTATTTCTTAAATATTGTTAAGTGTCATCAAGTCATAGCAACCCTGTATAGGCTTTCTGAGGAGCGGTTGGTAAGCTTGAACCACTGACCTTGCGATTCAAACCAATTTTGTAGTCCAGCACATTAACCCAGAGCACCATATCAGGACTCCCTTTTATAAATAGTCTTCCAAAATACTTTGGTGAATATACTTTAATGTTATTGTTGTTGTTAAGGGTTTTAGAGTTGGTTCCAACTCATAGAGATCTGTATAGGGTTTCTAAGGAGCAGCTGGTGGGTTTGAACCACTGACCTTGTGGCTAGCAGTCCATTGCTCATCCTTCAGTGCCACATTTTGCTATATAATGTCATTAATGTTGTAATTTGCTTTTTTCCTTTAAAATATACTGTGAGAGTTTTATTTAAAATATAAAACCAAAAACTCCCACTGCCACTGAAATGATTCTAACTCATAGTGACTATTTAACATTTATGGTGCTATTAATTTTTACAAGAGCAGAAAGCCTCTTCGTTCTCCCATGGAGTAGCTGCTGACCTTGTAGTTAACAGCCCACTCTGCCACCATGGCTCCTCGTTTCATATATATTTCAATTAATCATTTAAATTTGTGTGCGGTGTATGTGTGAAGGGGGAAAGACTAGGAGGGAGGGAGAAAGAGAGAATCTGAGAAAGAAATAAAATATAATGTATTTTGTCTCCTAATGCTCTATTGTGTGGCACTATGGGTTAATGCGCTGGACTGCAAAGTCGGTGAGAACTGCAAAGTTGACAGTTCAAGCTTACCAGCCACTCCTCAGAAACTCTATTCAGGGTGGCTATGGGTCAGAACTAACTTGACAGCACTTAACAACAACAGGGCTCTATTACAATATCTTCATTGTTGTTGTTGCTAAGTGCCATCGAGTCAGTTCTGTCTCAGAGCGACCCTGTAAAGGATTTCTGAGGAGTGGCTGGTGAGTTTGAACCACCTACCTTGCAGTTCAAACTAACCTTGTGATTCAGTACTCATCCTACAGTGCCACATTTAGGGTCTTTCAAATTTTTCTTTATATATAAAAATTGACCATAAAGGAAGTAGAATTTTAGGAAATATTATAATTTTTTTTTAAATGGGCAAAAATATTTAATCCTACAGTCATTGGAAATAGCATGCAAATAAAATCATGTAATAAAAATACCAATATTAGAATAGCTAATATTGAATAGTCATTTGAACTAATCATTATTCAACCAAACTAAAAAACTGTGGTTAAATTGTTCTTTGATGACTTTTTTCCCAAAAATAAATAAATAAATAAAATCACTTGGCATCAACTATCTCTAAGGCAAATTTCAGAGAATAGAGAAAGCGATATCAAGTTTCAGATTAAATAAATGAGTTATCACTGTTAAAAGACACTGTGGTCTCACACTTAGACACAACAGTAGGACCCATGGTAAGTGCTCTTTAAACTGTATCCCAGTGACCACTGTGATCCAAGAAAGGTTTATCCATGAGTCCTTTACAAAAGAACCACTCCTCTCCCAGGATCCCCAGTTCTTTCTCTCTGTCAAGATATTTCACTTACAAGTGATCAATAGCAAACATTCTCCCTGAGACATATTCTATTTGGTTATGCCTGTGTTCACAATGTTTCTGAGATGAGTAGAGATAAGTTTTAGGTACTTTTATCTCTTTCACACAGCTATGTCCTTTGGAAGACCTCTTTTAATGGGGGGCAAGAAAGGGGGAATCATATTCAACAGTCAAATTAGATATTTAGTCAGAAACTTATTTTCTAGCTTTGCCCAGGAAAGACTAATGACAAATCACTAATTCTTATGTAAAGAATATTATTTGAAATATTTTTCAAACTATTTACAATTATTTGGGGTTCTTCATCAGTGATAAAATAATAATGTTGTTGTTGAGTGCTGTTGATTCCGACCCATGGCGACCCTGCATAAGATTTCTGAGGAGCAGCTGGTAAGGTTGAACCACTGACCTTGCAGTTCAAATGGCTTTGCAGTCTGGCGCATCAACCCACAGCGCTAGACCAGGACTCCAAAATAATTATAGCATAGAATATATATTCATTAATGTTTTCGAATGAATAAATATACCACCACAAATCTCCCTAAAATATATTGTTATTGTGTACCATTGAGTCAATTCCGACTCAGTAGTGACCCTGTTTAGAGTTCCTGAGGAGCGGATGGTGAATTTGAACTGCCAACCTTATGGTTCAAACTGACTATGTGTTCCAGGCTTATCCTACAGAGCGACATCAGGACTCCCTAAAATACCATGTTTGTTGTTAAATGCCTTTGAATTTGTTCTGACTCTTAGCAACCCTGTATAGGGTTTCTGAAGAGCAGCTGGTGAATTTGAACTGCTGACCTTGCAGTTCAAATTGACCTTGCAATCCAATGCTTATCCACAGCACCACACCAGTACTCTCACTAAAATATAAAGGAATAAAAATTATATTACTGAACAATTTTAATTTCTCAAGTAATGATACAATGCTTACTTTAAGACATCTTTAT